CATAAAATGGCACTTCTCCCAGTTTAGCACTAAGTTTGTCTCCACACATCTTTTAAGCACTCTTCCTAAGTTGTGAAGACAGTCTTCGAATGAATCTCCCACCACGGAGAAATCATCCATAAAGACCTCTATAATATCTTCCACCATGTCTGTGAAGATGGCTAACATGCACCGTTGAAAAGTTGCGGGTGCATTGCAAAGCCCAAAAGGCATTCTCCGAAAGGCAAAGATGCCATACGGACAGATGAAGGATGTTTTCTCTCTATCTTCGGGGGATATTGATATCTGATTGTACCCCGAATATCTATCCAAGAAACAGAAGTGCGATCGCCCAGGCAGTCTGTCCAATATTTGGTCAATGAAAGGTAAGGGGAAATGGTCCTTCCGGGTGACTGTGTTCAATTTCCTGTAATCCATGCAGATACGCCACCCTGTGACTGTACAAGTTGAGATCAACTCATTGTTCTCATTTCTTACAACAGTCATTCCCCCCTTTTCGGCACACATTGGACAGGGCTGACCCAATTACTATCAGAGATGGGGAAGATGATTCCCCCATCTAACCATTTGATCACTTCTTTCTTTATAACCTCTTTCATGTATGGGTTCAGCCTTCGCTGGTGTTCCCTGGAAGGTCTGTGCACCTCCTCCAGGAGAATCTTATGCATACAGAAGGCTGGGCTAATACCCTTTATGTCTGCCATGGTCCAGCCAATGGCAGTCTTGTTTTCCTGCAGTACTTGTAAGAGTCGTTCTACCTGCACATCCAATAAACCGGATGATATAATAACAGGCAAGGTCGAATCAGGGCCTAAGAACACATACTTGAGGTGAGTTGGGAGTGGCTTCAGTTCCAACTTGGGTGGTTCCTCTATTGATGGCTTTGCTGGAGGAGTGGCCCTTTTTTCTAGCTCAAGGACTCGAACTGAGGTTCCCTTGACCAAAATCCTCAGCCTTCCAGTGCCATGACCCATTCAGCTAACCCTTCACCATCCATTTCTTCTAAATTCGTCAGACATGCCTCCAATGGATCTTTTACAGTTAGGGTCATATCATCTTCTTGCAGGATTATATCCACTGCCTCCACTAGAGAGCAATTAGCATATTCACTGGGTCTCCTCATAGATTGCTGAACATTGAATATGACTTCTTCATCGTTCAATCTCATTTTTAATTCTCCAGTCTCACAATCGATCAGTGCTCTCCCAGTGGCTAAAAATGGTCTCCCTAAAATATGGGGTATCTCCTCATCCACCTGACAATCCAGGATAACAAAGTCTGCAGGGAACACGAACTTCCCCACTTGCACCAACACATCATCAAGAATACTAGTGGGCCTCTTCACTGTGCGGTCAACCAGTTGTAGCAGCATCAAAGTTGGCCTAGCTTGTCCAATGCCTAGTTTGGTGTACACAGCCAGCGGCATCAGATTTATGCTGGCTCCCAAATCACACAACACCTTTGCAAAGTCATAACTTCCAATTGTGCATGGAATAGTGAAGCTACCTGGGTCCGACATCTTTTGAGCCATCGGTTTTGCCACCACTACGCTGCAGGTCTGTGTCAGAGTTACAGTGGATAGATCCTGAATATCAAACTTCCGTGACATTAGATCTTTCATCATCTTGGCATAACCGGGCATCTCCCTCAAGGCATCCATCAAAGGAATATTCAACTGAATTTGACGCAGCATCTCCATGACTTCTTGTATTGGTCTGCCTTCTTTTGTTTGACCAGTCTCTGAGGGAAGGGTGCAGGTATCATCATTTATGCATTGCTTGCTGGCTTCTCTCTATTAGAATTTTCTGGCACAAGAGGTGCCACCTGTTCTACAACTTGCTCATTCATCTTTTCTTTGCCTTTTTCCTCCTGACTCTGCTCAACCACCACTTCAGTAAGTTTTGTTGGTTCCTCTACCTCTAATTGAACTGGTGTGGCTGGTATAGTATCTTTGCTGGCTTGTGCAATTTCCTACTCTTTGTCTAAATCTCTTCCATTCCAGAGACTTACTGCCATCAGCTGATTCAGGTTCTGGTCCTTGGGGTTTATGTTTGTGTCTGTAGGCAAAGTTTCCTGAGGATGGTTGTTCAAAGCCATGGACAGCTGACCCAGCTGCGTTTCAATATTCTTTATGGCTGAATCATGCACTGCCAATTTTTCCTGCACTTTATTATTTGTCCCAATGAGTTACTGAAGCATACCCCTGATTTCCACCATGTTGTTATCTTGCTGCTGAGGGGGTGGTTGGTATGTCAATTGTTGCTGATTTTGCTGTGGGTAGCCCTGTAGTTTCTGATGTGGTACTGGCACCAATTGGTTTTGAGGGTGCATACCCCCAGGCTGCTACATATTAGGCTTGTACTGCTGATTTTGCTGCGGTCTCCACTGCTATGCTCCTTGCCTCTGACCCCCATAGTTGTTGACATAATTCATATCTTCCCTTGCCCCTTGATTTTCATCTTCTCCGCTCCATGAACACACATAAGACTGATTAATACAAGGTGTACACAGTCCCCCATTTGTTGTATCAACAATGTGCACCTGTTTTGTACCCATATCATCAATCTTCTTTGTCAATATGCTCATCTGGGTCATGAGTGTGGCCATGTTCTCTGCATGTGAATTATTTGGGTCAAGAGAAACTGAATGCATTATGGGTGCCAGTGTTGTACCTCTAGTCATCCACCCCGAATTTCATGACATCTTATCAAGAAGGATTTTGCACTCAGTGAATGTTTTACTTAAAAATGCACCTCCAGCTGAAGCATCCACATTTGCTTCCAAATTGTCAGCTAGCCCCATGTAGAATATCTGGCCGAGCATCTAGTCTGGAATGCCATGGTGAGGACACTTCACTAACATCCCTTTATGTCTTTCCCAAGTTTCCTGCAAGGACTCAGTGGGCTATTGCCTATACTGCAATATGTCATCAATCTGTTTTGCAGTCTTGTTAGGCGGATAGAACTTGTTCAGGAACTGTTTGACTAATTCCTCCCAAGTGGTAATAGAGTTGATAGGGAGCGAATTTAGCCAGGTCTGAGCTTTCCCGGTTACCGAGAATGGAAACAGTAGCAGCTTGATAGCTTCTGGAGTCGCATTTGGCTGCCTTTGGGTCATACAAATTGACGGAAAATTTTTCAAGTGTTGTTGTGGGTCTTCAATGTGTGACCCGGAGAACAGTCCCTTATTCTGCAGCAGATGCAGCATGTTGTTGGTGATATAGAATGTCTCTGCTTGAATTGTGGGCACAGCTATGGCAGTGGCCAGCTTATCAGCTGTGGGATGTGCCCAGTCCTAAAGTGCAGCTTCATGCACAAGAGGTTCCACCCCTCTAACATTTAAGTCAACTGGCTTATTCCTGACGTTTCTGTTGATGTTATCTACGTCACCCATGTCAAATTCGAGTTGGTATGATTGTTGAGATTGTTGAAGTCTTTTGTTGGCACGGTTCAATGCCCTGAATGTTTTCTCGGGGTCTGAGAGTCCTTCTAGTAGTTCTCTAGTCCTCGAAGAACTTCTAGGCATACACCTGCTTTCCACAAGAGTTCAAACGTTAGAATTTCAATGAAAAGATTGGGTATAGAGAAAACTGACTACACTTAGAATTTTTGTACTTCTCTCAATTGTAATTGATAACACCGCTAATTCCCTGACAACGGCACCAAAATTTGATAATGCCAAACTATGCCTTATACAAGGATNGACAACGGCACCAAAATTTGATAAAGCCAAACTATGCCTTATACAAGGATACACACGGACGTAGCAAATATAATCTGAGTAATTCTTCCCAGAGTCAAACCACAGAGAATTAACCTATCATTTACTTTTGTCGGATTTACTAAATTCACAGAATCAATTTCCCCAAACTTTGTAATTCACAATTGATGATATTTCTAACAACTAAAAACTGAAAATAATTAACAGCTGAAAATTATCTATGCTTGATGTGTAAACAGTTGGAATAAGGTCTAAGGTAATGGTTTCCCCCCGTTGGTGATTTCCTTGGTTGTGTATTTCTTATAGCGATGCCTTAGTTGTCTCTATCAATCAAGAACTCTCCAGCTATCATAAATCTCTCTCAAGCAATTATGATAATTTACTAAACGCAGTCTCTCAAGCTACGCTAACTAGATTCACATTACCGTTCTTTTAGATTGCACCCGAGGTATCGTTATCTCTAATCCAACCTCTAAACCCTCAGTTATGACTCTCGTTTATACTCCGGAAGTGATGTTGTTCAAACAACTACCTAAATATGCACTCTCTCTCAAGAAGATACATAATAAATAGGAATAGATAATTGAGGGCCCTTTCAACTAACCACAATCAAAACGTAGATGAACAAATAGAGATTAACAACCAATTCAAACTATATTACTATCACAACCAAGTCATCCCCAACGGGTTTCACCAAAACCTTAGATTAAAGTATTTAACTACTCATGAAAACGTAAGAATAAACTACGAAAATATTCATAATGGAAAATTGCAAGAAAAATAGAAGAGAATAAGAACTATGATGTTTTGGGTGATCTCTCACACTTGTTCTTCTTGCAAAAGTAATCTCCCAATAAGCCCTCCTTCTCTTGGGCGAGTTTCCTACATCTTATAAGGGTTTTACAAAAGCTTTCCCGAATTGACACTTTGGCCCCTTAAATTTCTGGACTGTGAACATACGGCCGCGGCGTCGACCGCGGTGCTGACCGCGGAGAACACTGACTCCAACCGTGGCGTGGACCGCGGTGGCAACCCCGGTGAGTATGCTGGGCCTTTTTGTCTCCGCGTTCCTTCTCTTTTTGCTCTTTTGTGTTTGGGTACTTCTTGAGTGGGTGTTTTCTTCACGTTATTGCCTTTAAACACTTCATGTTGCTTCCTCACATTTTATATTCCCTACGAAACCAAATAGCATTAATTAAAGCATTTTATTGGCAACTTACATTAGAAAACAACAACAAAGCATGGGCAATTATGGTGTAAATAATAATTATATAGCCTATTATCAATTACTCACTAATTTTATTTTCCTTCTCCGGTTCTGAGTTCGCCTACTGTTCGAGCTTGAGTTCAGATTCTTAACGGCTAAACTATAAGATTTTGTTTGGTTTGTTTCCCAAAAGAAGGTCAGTGAACCTCAACATTTCTTCTCTTTTAACTGTTTAATTGAAAGCATGTTTTGTTCTATCGTTAAATGGCTTTATCTATAATATTTTATGATTGATATCTCTATATGTTTGTTATTAATCCATAGTTGATCACTGAATTCTAGAATTATAAGCTCCTTAATGTTATGAAATCAAAGCCACTTACTAATTAGTATTTCTGGTAATCCTAATGAACATATCTTTGGGTGACTTGTATATATTGTTAAACTTCTGAGAATAACAAAGAACTTTCAAACAACCTTAATAGTTGTCTTAATCCTCTTGTGTTCTGTTATACCTCTCATGTGCGCTATATTAGTTTGCCTTAGTATTATTGGTATGATTCACTTGATATCTGGCCTAAATGGATATGGATACATGATATTAAGCATAGGAATGCCACTTAATCTAAGCATGGTAGTTTACATTGCATGAAGTGTCTCCTTCTTTAGTGTGCTCTTCTATGATTCTGTAACTTTAGAAAATCAGTGTAAGAACCTTCTGTCAGCTCCCATAACTGTTTTAGCACATCTGTAAACTTCACTGCATTAGATAATGCCTCAAAGTAACTGGTTTAAGCCCTAATGAACCTCTGCACTTTAGCTTTGTCTGTTGACATCTACTTGGTTCAAGTCATGCCTAGAAACTTGATTGAAATTTGCACCTGCTATAGTTGAATACCATCTAATAGAATCAAGTGTTGCAGAACTTTATTATGATAGACTAATCAACTTAACTTATAGCTTAAATATGCTTACCTGGTATAGACTTTCACTATTCTGGACCACTATAATGACAATGTTAGTCTAATCCCGTGTTGTTTGGTAGCCATTCATATTGTAATGTTGTAGTTTTATTAGAATATAACATGTACATATTTAAATGTCATCCATTGAAAGTTCTGTACTCATCCCTATCTTAGAAGAGAATTACTGCTTGTATAATGTTTGTGACTGTGTTTCCATACTATTGAAACCTACTAAGTTTACTGTAGTTACTCATGGACTTAGGAGACCCCCTTTGATGTTTATCCACCTTGTTTGAATGTAGGATTCTACATTTAACTCTTAACCAACCTAGGTGGAAATGAAAACAAAAATCTTTAGAGGTCACTTGTTAATGTATTTGCCTGCCCCTGCCTTTAAGAACTTTGAAGTGGACTAGTAACTCTCATACTTAGTAAGGAGTGGGGTGTTATTAGATTTCCTCTAAGTATATAAATGACTAAGTAAATGATTACAGCTAATGATTTTCATAAGCATGAACCTGCTAGTAGGATTATTGAGGCTGATACACCTGATACCTTATATGCTCATTTGAACTGCATGACTTACTTTTTCTGAGTTCTTATATGAATGTGTTGTTATGCTCCCATTTCTTGCCAGCACCTATACTGATCCTGTAGAGTACTAAGCCTGATACCTTTGTGAACTTTGAAGTGCCAGGGATCCAAAGGATATCTTGGCCATGAATGAAATTTTACCTTAAGCCCTTAATATATTGACATTTGCTAATTTCTTTAAGTTTAGTGTTCAATGAAAATAAAGGTTTTCAT